TATTTTTTGTCAAAAGTCAGTTGGGTATAGATGTGTGAGATATTTCTGGACACTTGATTCTGTTCCATTGATCTATGTGTCCATTTTTTGCCAATCTTATGCTATTTCGTTTACTACAGTTCATAGTACATTTTGAAGTAACTGTGGCAGCACTTACATGAATCTACATATGTGATCCAACCTAATAGAACTAAATGCATGCACATGGGCACACAAAACCGGTGATATCCGAATAAAGTTGCTAGGTTGAATCCATGTCAATTTATTCACTGTAATATTTTACTATAGTTATTCAAAATATTACCATGGAGTTTTTTTTTAAATAAAAGGCTTAAGTAGATCACAATTGTAAAATGTTTTGTCTTCAAAAAACATTCTGAAATGTAATAACCATTTAATAAGTCTGGAAAGGAAAGTACATGCTGTGAAGTTATTATCAACCCTGTACAATAATAGGTTTCTGGTCACAATCTCAACAACTTTCATAAACTAAGTAAGCAGAACCCTGAACACCCATATTCAAATCAGCTAACCTGATTTAAATTTCACTTGCATTTTCTTACAGTTTACAATGTTTTCACATCCCATCCCATTTTACAGGACATGTGGTATGACAGACAGAGCAGAATGTTTTATCCTCCACCATATAGATGAGGAAAGTGAGGCTGAGAAGTGAGTTTAAAAAGTGGTGAGATTGGGAGTATGAACTGAAGTTCTCTGAAGAAGCCGCATTTGTGCTAAAGGTCCTGCAGACTGACTAAACCTCTCTGATTATGGAGAGATGGAATGAGGCAGACTGAGAGCCAAAATTATCTTGGGTGATCGTTAGTACCCTTAATGGCCATTTATTTCCACCTCACATCTTTGTGACTATTGGCTAAAACTTTGGAAGGTGTTGTCAAACTTAGCAGACCACTAACTTCCACCCACCCCAAAGCTAAGAACATTATATCATCTGTTACCTAGTAATCACAGGTCCCTGAGTTCAATCTGCAGTACCACACAAAAGTAATCTGAAACCTATAGATTTTTCCACTCTGCTACAACCCACCTGCTTGATGTCCTCACCAATGTAAATGCATTGATTTAGTAAATGCATTGATTTATGGGCTTTGTTTGTTCTGCAACTATAAAAGTTCATGTAACCTCTTCCACAGAGGGACATGTCATTTAAGGTAACCTGAACTATCTCTATTCCCTTTGGAACAAAAGTTGTGCTTTGTACTAACATCAGTAAAATATGAAATATAAATATTCTGACTCTGAAATGACGGTGCTACTGGAAGATGAGGGCTAAGTTTTATAATTCCTAGATGATTGGTCTAGTGTAGAGGCAAGCACACACTTGACCATAAATCAGAAGACTAGAATTGGCACTGAGCCTGGTCAGAGAGTGCCAGGTCCAAACTTAGCTCAATGTAACCGCGCGATAGCTGCTTCTGAGTTCTGGGAAAGACAAGCATGAAGGCTTCTGACACATTTGGCATTTATTGAATCTGGAAGAATGCCTTGAGTTTTGATATGTGACTGTACTAGGAGGAGGAGAAATCTAGGCAGAGTATAAATGAAGGCACAGAGGTGGGGAGGTAAGGAGTCTTTGTATGGAAAGAAGATGGTGTAATGGAACCAGTGCCTATCCCCTTCTCTGCCTGTGTAAGCTCACATAGTTATGTTAACAGGCCACTCTCTCTTTCTGCAACTTCAGTAATAAGAATGTCGGAACTTTTGTTGCTGTCATACAGGTCCTTGAGAACCTGTACATTTCTTTCCTTTTTTATTATGTTTGTGCTGGGGGTACATTGTGGCATTTACAAATATCATAGTTGAATTCCTTCCCTCCAGAATTCTCCTTTATCCCTTCTGCCCCCATTCCTGGAATAGACTTTTGTCCTACTTTCTCTCTACTGTTTGAGTTGGGTAAATTTTGTTTATCTGTCCTCAAGCTCACTCAATTAATCACTCTACTATTGAGCTTATGAAGTGATATTGTTATTTTAGTTATTGTAATTTCCATTTGATTCTTTTGTAATTTCTGTTTCTTTATTGATGTTTTCTGGGTTTGTAATCTTAAACAGAATTCATAATTGTCATTTTAAAATTTTCTTCAAATAATTCCAACATCTGATTCATCTTGGTGTCTGTTGATTTCTCTTCTCATTCAAGTTGGGATTTTCCTGTTTCTTAGTTTGACAGTGATTTTTTGCTGTATCCTAAACACTCAGATTATTATGCTACAAAATTCTGGATCCTTTTTAACCTTTTTTATCAAGCATTCTCCTTTATTGAGGAGGACTGGGTGGGTGTGCATTCTTAACTTTCTGCAGGGCCCCATTGATACCACTAGGAAAAGTGGGGGGCTGATTTATTCTTTTTCCACCTGTAAGTATTTTTCTTTATTTGTTGCATTTTGTCCAGAGTTGTTTTAGTTATAAGAGATAGTACCTGGAAGGAACAAACTGCTCTATCTTCACTGGAACCAGAAATGTCTCTGAACTGCTAAATCTTATCAACACTTTGTAATCCTCATCCTATTTTTTTGTCCTTTTGCTATTATTTGCTTTGGTGGACTATATGCTTTTCCTTGAAACTCACTTTTCTCTTAGCATTTACTAATACACATTATGACTTTCCTGTTATCTTTTGGTCATTTTTTTTTCTTTTGCTATAGTGGGGATTAAACTCAGGGCCTTGCACCTGCTAGGCAAGTTCTCTACCACTTGAGTTCTGTCTCCTAACCCTTTTGTTTTTGAGACAAAACAAAATGGTCTTGCTAACTTTGCCCAGGCTGGCCTCAAACTCACAATCCTCCTGTGTCTACCTCCTGAGAAGCTGGGATTATAGGTGTATGCCACCATACCCTGGCTCTTTCATTCATTTTCAAGGGTCCTTCCCAGTTTCCTCTTTGTTGGTAGCTTTCAGAGTGCTTCTGTTCTCCAAGATTCTTCCCTAAATCTTTTTGTCTTTCTCCTCATACAGCTTTACCATCAGCTATATGCTAAAAATTCATTATTGTCTGCAGCCCCTAACTCCAGTTCAGTTTCCACTGGAAACCTCCACCTGCCCATCCTAGAAAAACCTTGAAACTATGTTACAAAATGTAACTTACTGTCCATATGTGCATGTGCAAATAGATGTTTCCCTGTTTCTGAACTTGATTCTTCAGTCAGGAAAGGCATTCAGAAAACTGGCAGTCACATAGTTTCTTCCTCTCTTCCAAACTCCAGCTCATGACAAGTTGTAGTCATTCTTTCTGCTAAACAGTTCTCAGATCAATTCCTTTGTCTTTACTCCTCTGGGAGTGCCAAGATCGTTGATTCAAAAATCTCATTCCTGTTCATTCTAATAGTTTTCTGTCTTTTGCCAGTACCTTTCCCATAGAGGCCCCACATGGTGTTTTTTTTTTTTTTTTTTTAAAAAGAGGCAATTCCCCCATTGCCTCTAAAGGATAAAATCTAAACTCTCTCTACTCAGGCTCATCTTCCACAGTTTGCTCCATCCATTTCTGGACACTTTCTGTGATATCTCAGCTTCCGTCTTTATCCATTTCATCATTACATCTGCCTGAAATGTGTCCCTGTCCTGTCCCCATCCCACCTCCTCTACACACACCTAAGCCAGTTCCTAACAGACCTGAATGATTCTGTTTATGCAAACTTTTTGAGGAAAATGTTTTCAACTGTTCATGTAAAGTGCTTATCTTCCCTGTTTCTACAACATTCTATTCATGTTGAACTGTTGATTTGTTTTTCTATCTCCCATGAGATATTTTAGAGAGGATGTGAGGAAGCTGTATTTCCCACCCTTATATAATACAAGTAACGTAGAAGTGACTTAATTTATCCTTTAATAATAATCTTAGAAGTATAGCCTTCCCTCTGCATTCCATCTCACATACATGTGCTCTACGGAGTATGCCACATGTACAGACAAAAAAAATGGGTCTCTGCTAAACATGTATGTGCTTTCCCCCTTGTCATTATTTCCTAAACTACAGTTAAGAACTATTTACCAGATAATTACATTGTATTAGTATTATAGGTAATCTAGAGGTGATTTCAAATATAACAGAGATGCTCTTAGGTTATATGCAAATCCTATGGCTATAAAACAGCCTTGCCTGGCAGGGACTCCTTAAGCCCCTCCCTCTCCCACCTGCTAATTCAAGATGTCAGAGGCAGCCACTTGTGAAGTGCTTATTAGAAACCTTTAACATATGTAGTTTAAATTTTAATGCAATGATCAATGCTTTGTGTTCTGTGAGAAAGAAATTCTTACAGCTGATTGCATGCAGAGAAAGCTTTATTAGATCAAGGAACTGTCACACTTTTCAAAAGCTGTAGGATAATAAAATATTTGTATGACTTTGGAAACTACTGGCACATCTTTGGTGAGCAAATTCCACTTTTACAATTTCCTCTGCTCCAGCCCTTAAAATCTGCTACTGAATACTCATTGTTTTAATACAACTGACTCCCAGCAGACTGGCAAAGCTTTTATGAAAACACATTTCTTAGGCATTAAATACACAATGAAAAGATATGATTAGGCATTTACAGGACTTGAAATGTTTAAAACTACACAAGCCGGTTGCGGAGGTACACATCTGTAATCCCAACACTTGGGAGGCTGAGGCAAGAGGAGTTCAAGTCTAGCCCAGGTTACATAGTGAGACCCTGTCTCAAAACAAACAAAACCACAATGGCAAGATTGCAAAAGCACTGTAGCATCTTTGAATTAATTTTAGTATTTTGTTCTTTTAAACACATTAAGTTGATTATTAGCGTTCTTATTTTTCAATACATAGTGCTTTTTTTCTCCTCCTCCTCCTCAAATACCCATGTTTTAACAATTTGAAAAACACAAATTATCAACTTGTATAAGTTTATTGACTTCTAGTTGTTACATTACAGACTACAGCACAATAATTAATCCCATACAGGTGACGTGTTACACTGGGGTTGGCTCTTGTTTCTATATACTACAGAATAGGCGCCCAGGGCTCACATCACGGCAAATTTGCCTAGCAGCTTCTCGGTGGTGGCCGGGGACACCTGGGATTTCTTCAGCATGCAGGGGGCGGGTTTTTTCTTGTGATTGAGCAGCAGGTACAAGAGCTGCTGTACGTTGGCATCCGCCCTGGTGGAGGTCTCCATGAAGGCGCAATTCCACTCCATCGCAAAAGCAGCACCCTCCTTCACCGCCACCTCCCGGGGACGCTCATCATTTTCCTTGTTACCCACCAGCACGATAGGAAACTTGTGTAGATTGTTGCCTTTAACCTTGCGAATCAGTTCTAAGAAGGGCTTTAACTCCTCCAGACTTTCCTTCCTGGTGACTGAGTAGATAAGTATGAAAGCGTGAGCCCTGGCAATGGTGAGGCGCCTGATACCGGGGTTGCCGAGGTTGCCAGGGGTGTCGGTGATGTGCAGTAAGCCCTGGGCATGTTTGCATTCATGCCACTGGCAACAGGGGTTTTCGTTGGTGGGAAAATGGGCGCCGTGTGCCCACCTCTGCAGCAGCGCGCTCCTGCTCGCGTCAGACGAGCCCAGGACCACCACGCGGAGATCTTCCGTGCGCAGCCGGCGCGCCTTGAACGCGCGGATGATAAACAAAGCGGTCAGCCGCTCCTTAAGTCCAAAACACCAATTGCCCATTTTGGAGGATAAGGGAGATGGTTGGTAGGAGAAGCCTGGGAAGAAAGAGAGAAAGGAAACGGCAGGGAGTTCTAAAGTGCCCGCAAAGCTGGTCCACTGGGACTCAGGGGCAGCTCCATTCCATGATGCTTTACACGCAGAAACGTACACAACAACCGCTAGAAGAAAACCCCTGACCACTGGGCCACCGACAACAGCTTGCACCAGTGGGGCAGGCAGGGGTATGTGTGTGAAGATTCGAGGGGGGGGGGTGAAGATGGGGGGAGGGCATGCGCAACACGCATGCGCAGGCCGAGGGACGCGCAGGGAGACCTGTTGGTTTGCTTTTTAGCGCTACAGAAAGTACAAGGGTCCAGTCTTTCTATGTTTTTCCCTGACATCACTTTATTTAATCCTCACTAGAGCACTTTCTCATAAAACACCTGAACTTCATTTGCTCAGATGTAAGATGAACACTTTAAACGAAACATACATAAATGTTGAAGAGAAATGGGAAAACTCTCCATACTCAGAGGCTGAATGTCAAAGAAACGACTGGAAAGATCCAACAAGAGAAGCAGTACACATGACACAATACAGAGGCGTGGGGTGGAAGGGGGAGAAAATAGAGTAAAGCGGAGAAATGGAGTATGGAGATAATACCTGGCTTGGCACTGCAGGCAGAAAACGCGAGGTGCGGAGTGGCGCGCGCGGTGCGCAGCGCGACCCGCAGTGAGCTGTACCCGCAGTGAGTTGTACCCACAAGTAGGAGTGGAGGCTCCTGATGCGCCCCCGCTCAGGTGGCTGCGCATTGTGCACACCCATTTTACCAGGCACAGAATGAAAATTAGAAAACGTGATCCCTTACTAATCCTTTTGTGTATTTTGGTACCTACTCATTATCAAAAAAAATTTTTTAATCACTACCTTGTTTCCGGATATGGTGGTACACGGCTGTAAGGCCAGCTACTCCAGAGGCAGAGGTAGGAGGATCACGAGTTTGAGGCCAGGCAAAGGTAGGAGAGAGATCCTGCTTCAAAAGTAAAATAAAAAATACCAAGATTCAAGGTGCGGTAGTGGGAGCAACGAGGGGTCGCCAGGAGCACCCCTGAACCCACATTCTCAACTATGCCAAGAGACATGTTATCATGCACCCAGCGCCAAGGGTCAGAAAACCAGTGTTCACTTTGGAGACAACCTGCGCATTCTACCCTGTAACATCCCATGCTGTTTTTCCCCCCCACACTCTTTGCGTCTGGGTTGCCTCTCCACAAAAAGCAAAAGAATTTTACCTCTTTGGAATATCAGAGACCAAGGCAGCTGCGACAACCAGTCCAGTAGTCAGATCAGAGCAGTCGTCGTGGTCTCCCCCAGTGGCTTCAAGGAAAATGCTGCAACAATTGGATTCAGCCTGAGCAAAAAAAGACTAGAGGGTGCTCAGGCAGGGAGGCTCCATTTGCTCGCAGCGCATGGGGGGAACCCGGCTGCGAGGGGCTGGTCGAGTCTGCCAGTTGTCCCCCACGCCTGAGTGGCTGTTCCCAAGCTCAGGGATGAGGATGATGTGGCAGGGTGCCTTGGGCACCAGTCAGTTTTAGTGGACTTCCTAGTATTGACAGTTCCCAACATGGGATTGGGTCTGGGATAATTATACTTTAAACTTGAGGTGGTCCAAATTTCTTTTCGCTTAGTCCATTTTATAGAATGCTAATGAAAAAAATACAGCTAGCGTTTGGGGACCTGGTCTCATCCTGTTGGGCTACATACTGGTTGTAAGGACTTAAGCAAATAAACTTACTTTCCTTTTTAAAACATTCAGTTTCTTGGACTGGAGGAGGGGCTCAAGTGGTAAGAGTACCTGCCTAGCAATTGTGAGACCCTAAGTTCAAACCCCACTGTTGCCAAAAAAAAAAAAAAAAAGGTTTATCTGCAAAATGGCGATAAAAGCATCTGTGCTTGAAGACTGAGTTATGCGTGTAAAAGGCATTTCAGAAATGTCAGGGCACAAAATTTCAACAGGTGTTGTTTGTGGAATAGGAATGGTCTACCATTTCCTTCAATGCTTGTCATCAGCCAATTATTTCTCTTGTAATTTTACATGTGTTAACTATAGGAAGCCTGCCTTATGTGGAATTAGTATACACAGTTTTAGCCAAGTGTGGTCAAATAAGGAAATAAAAAACAAATTTCAACAACAAAAATTTTATATTTCCACTGGTGCGTCCCAACGCACGGGAGCTCTCGGTGAGTCCCGCCTTATCATCAGTGGTGTTTACAGATCGGTGTTGCCTGCCCTTCATTTTGTGAATATCTGCCTCCCAAAAGCAGAGTAAAAGCTGTGGCAATCATCCAGAGCCTAAAAAGGCACATAATGTGCTAAATTGGAGTAATAAAGTGAAAATTTGAGATTTGTTGAAAAGCCACACGTCTTTAGCGGAAGTTGGGCAGCACAATGGTAAAACTGAGTCAACTGTTTCGGCAGCTCAGCCCTGCGCCCTTTGCGTACTGAGCATGCGCAGTTTTTACTCCAGGGCAGTCTTCTTGGAAGAGCAAACCTGTAGGTACCAAAGATCTACTGTATTTAGTTCTTACTGTGATTCCATGAGGTGAAACTGTGACAGTGTCCTTTACAAGTAAGAAGACTGGGCACTGAGAGGTAAGTAAATGGCAGAGGCCGGGGGTCTAGCTTGCTGCAGGACTTAGGTCTTCCACATCCCCATGCCTTCCTAGTTGAGATCTCTGGTGATGGTAGGCCTGCATAACTATAATTTTAGGAGGAGTCTCTTTTCTTTCCATTTCTTATTAGTTCTTCCTAACACCCCTCAGCCCTTTAAGCTCTGTAGAAAACTAATAGCAGTTGCTTTCCCCATCCTTCACAGGAGATAAGTATCTTCTCTACAGTTTTTGACTTCCAGGATTAGGGTTGTTTCTCTTGTCAGGTTCATGTTTCTTTCCCATTTCTACCACCTCTGTTCCCAACCTGTCTGCTTTTTCTTAGCACCCCCTGCTGCTAAAATAGCTCTCTGATCATAGAGATATCACCTCCCACTTCATAGAGAAATGATGTCACCAGATAAACTCACCAGCTCCTGGTCCCCCACCAGCACTTTCTCTTTCCTCCATCCACCGTTAATACGTCATTTGAGTCCCGGTTGTTTCTCAGCCTATGTCCTTAGATCACCTGTGTTGGAATCACCTGGGATGCTTGTTAAAAATACCCACCTTGCATCTACAAAATCAAAATCTGTGGGTAGGACTGAGGACTCTACAGTTTAACAAGGCCCTTCAGGTGAGCCTCATGCAAAGGAAAGCTTGAAACTGTCCCTTATAGCTTTGTTATTAGTCTCCCCTCTCTAACCTATCACTTTGACCTCTCTCAGATTCTTTCTCAGTCCACAGATACACTTACTTGCCTCTTCTAATCTAATAAAAGATAGTACATGATGGAATCGTGGGTATGAATGTTGCTATTAAATGTAAAATACAACAGTATCAATATGTATAAAACGTGTTGGCTATGTTTTTTCTTATTTTTTTTAATTAACTGAAGTCCATCGTTTATTCAGATTTTCTAACCCCATCCTTATTACATTTAGCTGTTGTGTCTTCTTAGGCTCCTCTTGACTATGACAGTTTCTCAGACTTTCCTTGTTTTTAATGATTTTGAGAGTTTCTGAGAGTTGTAGTTAGATACATTGTATCTTCTATTGGAATGTTTCGGATTTTGTTTTTAAAAAATCACTGTGGGGGCAAGCAGTAGAGTGCTTGCCTAGCATTATGTTCCATCCCCAGCACTGAAAAAAAATGTATAGATATAATAAAAAATTAAGAATTACTATTAAATTGGGGTCATGAGTCTTTGAGGAAAAGATTGACTTTCTTAGTTCCATCATATCCAAGACATAGATTGTCAACACAATTTGTCACTATTAATGTTGGTCTTAACCACCTGGCTAAGGCATTTGTCAGGTTTCTCCACTTTAAAGTGAGTCTTTTTCCTGCTTCCTGTACTCTGTGGAAGGAGGTAGCTATGTTCAGCCACTTAAAGAGTAGGGATTTATGCTCCACCTTTGAGGGCAGAATTTCATCATTTGTTTATACCAGAGTAGATGTATGGCTACTTACTTTATACTTTGGGTCACTACTTTTTATACTTTTATATTTTATTATTTTATAATACTTTTATACTTTAGGTCATACTTTACTGGATGGTAGCTACTTCTTCAGGGGGTTCCATCTTTCACCAATGGGAGCTGTTTCAACTGGCTCCTGTGCTCCACTGCCATGCTGTCATTTATGGAATTGGTTTTTTGGTTTCTTTACTTCCTGGCACTACAAGATTCTCTAGTTTCATCTTGTATATTTCCTGCCTTTTTCTGAGTGCAATGATATTTTTTTAAGAAAAAGATTGACTATGACTCAGTGCTGCTGGGAAACCATTGCTGACAGGACACTTGGATACACAAACATCTATAAAAATGTCTGTTTCTAAACTGAGGTAAACCTGAATTCTTATTAATGTCTCCAGCTCTAACCCAATACTACATGGACCATTCTAGCCTCCTTCTTGCTGACTGGAAAATTTCCACCCCAACAGTGAGAAATCTGACTTCCACCTTCTGCCATACTCAATTTTCCAATCCCAGTACACATGTATAATTCATACAAAATTGATAACTGTGTACTCATGGCAAACATTCTTCTTTTTTTGTGTGTGTGGTACTGAGGTTTGAACTCAGGGCCTTGTGTTTTCTAGGCAGGCACTCAACTACTTGAACCATGCCCTTATCCCTTTTTGTTTTGGTTATTTTTGAGGTAAGATCTTGCTTTCTGCCTGAACAGGCTTAGATGGCAATTCTTCCAAGAACTGGATGGTGGGCACACACCACCATGCTCAGCTATTAATTGAGATGAGGTCTTTTAACTTTTTGTCTGTGTTGGCCTCAAGTGGAGATTCTCCCATTCTCTGCCTTCTGAGTGCTAGGATTACAGGCTTGAGCTACTGCACCTGGCTCTACAAAAGGGATTTTGACTTGTGACATTATTGACCAGATAACCTTGCTTTTCTCAAATTCATTCTTGAAAAGCCAGTTCTAAACCAAAAGAAGCATTAGTGAAAGAACTGGAGGTTTCACGGATGACAATTTAAGAACTTTATTACTTAAGGAATTTATGTGCACACGTGTCTGATTTCATTGTTATAACCTACATTCTTTCCTAGAATTCTCTACCCTCCTAAAACTTACATAAAGATTCCTTCATTTCGTTGTAAAATTCTGTCAGTTTTGAAAAAAACATAATGTCACATGTTCATTACAGTATCACACAATAATATCCCTGCCCTAAAAATCTTCTGGGCTTTGTAACACGACGAAACTCGACATATCTAGTTTTGCATATCTTCATTGGTTTTATTTGCAATTCGAGAGTTAGGCTGTACCAAAAAAGGTTCAGAATGCCCTGTGTCACCACTTTGGCCTTATAGTTATAGCCAGAGAAAGGAAAGTGACATACAGAAAACTGGATGTAGACAGACATACAGAGTTGTACAGAGACAGTACAACTGGTTACAGCTTGCATCTGTCTTATCTGAATGTAGTTTGAACGGTTGGCCATTTATGATTGTCTGAAACTAAGTTTCTCCTGTTTACAAGAGCAGGTCACAGTGGTTTTTTGATCTGAGGACAGTTTCATAAAGGCGTGGTTTTCAAGAGTTTGGACAAAGGTTTAGGAAACTCCCAAAGGGAAATGGCAGAGTGTACTTAGGCTTAATAGCACATTCCTATCCCAGCCTGAAAGCAAGGAAAGAAAGAAAGAGTACAATTGCTAGAGAAGGTGGCCGCAGGGAGAGGGTTGCCTGACAGCAGCTTCCAGAAGGGGCTGCAGTCAAACCATGGGAATGAGGACTGGAAGATGAGGGCATCAATGTCTGGACTCACTCTTTTGCCTTCCTCTTCACTCCTTCCCACAAAGCCTCTCAGGGGCAGGAGCTCAGGTGCTGCCTCCGCAGGGATCTGCCTCCCGGGCCTCACAGAGGTGTGGGACACAGCTGCCTACCTTCAGGTCACAGTGTATTTATACTTAACTTAAAACATGTGTGGAGACAGCTTTAGGGCAAACAATTCAGTTCAACGTATTCAACCTGTTTATTCCTCCACTCTGCCCCCAAATCCCCTGACATATGCAGCCTTTTCATATGTGATTTTTTTTCTTTGGTGGTACTGGGGTTTGAACTCAGGGCCTCATGGTTGCTAGGCAGGTGCTGTACCACTTGAGCCACTCCACTAGCCCTATACAGCCTTTTTAGACAGGCTTTTTCACTTAGCAATAGACATTTAAGTTTTCTCATAGCATTCTGTGGATCAAGTCTTACTTCTTTT